ACGCTATGAATACAATCCGCGTTGCCATCGTTTGTTGTCTGCATGTCATCTACACAGGCGTCCCATATACACTGGCGAAAACGAGTCTCTGACCCCCCTCTCACAAGCACTCTAGAGCCTAGACAACCCAAACCTCCGTCTCTCCGTCCATCACCTTCCGCGGCGCCCAGTTCACCGCGTGGAAATACCGACACTCGAGACGCGCCGCACGTCCAGCTGCCGCAACCACTTGACAAACGCCCGCGCATAGCTGTCATGGATGAAGATGCGCCCGCACCGCGCCGCGACCTCGCGCTGGTACGCCGGCGGATCAGCCACGAACCTGCGCAGCCCGGCGGCGTACTTTTTCGTGTTCTTCGTATTGAACAGCTTGCGCTGCTGCGCTTGGGCCTCCTGGAGCCGCGTGTGCACGTCGCGCTCCGCCGCCGCCGCCTGCGCCGGCGTCAGGTCCGTGACGCGCGCGTCGACGCCGTCGAGGTCGAGGTGGTCGAGCCGCTTGATGATGTAGCCGAGCGCGCTGTACCGCCCGGCGTCGCCCGGCGGCAAGGCGCTCATGCGCGCCGCGAGGCTGACGAGGTTGAGCATGCCGGCCGCCAGCTCCGCCGTGTCCCTGTCGTCGGGCGCGTATTCCTTCTTGATGTGCGCCTCGCGGACCGCGCGCGGCGTCGGGAGCACGGGGCTCTTTTGCTCGTTGGCCGCGTCGCGCCGCTCCTGTTCGGCCCTGCGTCGCTGTTCGGCGGGCGTGAGGTCGGCGGGCGCCTCGGGGGCCGGGGACGCGGCGCGTGGCTCGACCAGGGGTGCTGTTTCCGCGGCGAGCTGATCGGGCTTTGAGAGAGGTGGTGGGTTTGGTTTCGACGACAACGACGACGACGACGAGCTTTTGAGTCTTTTGGAGTCAGAACGAGGTGTGTCTTCCCTGATGTCGTCCTCGAAGCGGACCTTTCGCTTTTGGGAAACGGCCTTTTTGAGCACACCACCATCGTCTTTCCTCCCGGCCATGATAGTTGAGCTGAGGTGTGACGGATGTGACAATCCAATACATAGGTATGCAAAATTCTCTGGCAAGTGGCGTCTCCTATAGAGTCAATTGACTTGTGCTTGCTCGTTGAGTCTTCAGGTCTTGGAGACCAGGTGGTTGCCGTCAGAGTCCCTGCTCCTAGATATGAGTGATTTGGATTCACGTCTATGCTTTGTTCACTGCGGGCAGCAAACCTGTCCGCCGCGCATCGCATGAGCGAGCTTGGACCCGGACTGGTCCTGTTCACTTCCGCAGTCGGGCCCTCGTGCCTCGGGCATCAAGCCAGGATCAAAGTCTGATGGTATATGACAAAGAACAGTAGTCTATAGGGCTGTCTGCACTCTGGCTGTGAAATGAAGAATTCGGCCGCGAACAATGAAATACGTGTTCTCGGCGTCTAATGTGGCTTCTTGCGCAAGTCTCCTTTGTTTGTCCTTCGCCAGGAATGGCCACGGGATTTCACGTCCTATGATCATGAAGGCGCCAGTGATGGAATTCGCATGTCGGATTCTTTGTTCTTTGGGCATGTTCACAGCAGAGAGACCATGTAGTGGCAGCCCATTGTATTTTGTAGCTTTCCAACACCGAGGAGCACCGTGAAAGTTTTGGATAACTTTATTCGTTTCACGCGTGCGGCCTCCTTGCTCCTCGTCACCAGCTGCCCAGCCAGTGGCTCATAGCCGTGACATGGTACTCATCCAGCATGACCCTTTCGAGCTCGGCCTTTCTCACCAACAGCACTTGAGCCTGCTCATCCCCCATCGAAGCCTGGTATCGACCTTTGGCCGTGCGAAACCTACGCCGGCAAGCCTTCAGTTTGATCTCTGCTGTCCTTCGCAGCTCTTTCTCGTGGCAGCAGAAGCACAGGTCTGGGATGACACCACCGTCCGGGATCGTTGCCGGGATCAGATAGATGCTGCCCTCTGACATTCGCCTGATTGGTATCTTGTGCCCGCACTTGCGGTACACCAACCGATGGCGACAGAACGGGCACGTATCGTGCTCCTCGAACCAGGTTGACAAACACCCTGCGCACGCAAGATGGCCGCAGGGCATGATGGCCGGCGTCCTGTTGTCGTTGTCTGTTTGACCTGTCAAATGAGCGCCGTCGCCTTCAGGTGAGAGCCTCAAAGCAGATACTCTGCAAATGGTACAGACTAAATCTGGGGGTCCGTCAACGAGGAATGTGATTTTGGGACAGGGCACAAAGGACTTGTCAGGTGTACCGGCGCGGTCGGGCCTGAGCCAGGCGCTTATCCGCGGCAACCATGATGTGAGAAGCGACTTGTGTTCTTGCTCTGGAATACAAGCCTCGTCTATGTCGGTGTCTTGTCTTGCTTCCTCTCGAGTCCTTCTCCTTGATGTGAGGTAGCGCCGTTGGGCTTTCTCCGGCTTGGTGCGGATCCTTATGAGTAGAGAGTCGGGGGAGCTTGTTCTGGTAGCTTTGGCTTTTTGAATATGGTGCATTGCGGTTCTTGCTAGTCCGTTACAGTGATTGTTCCTGATCGTGTTGACAGCGAGAGACGTGATATGGTCGAGGCCATCTCTGCACAGCCATGTTGATCCTTGACTAGAGTTTAGACATGCCGCTTGCTTTCACCCTACAGGAGACACAACCACCCTAGGTGCAGACACTCTACTTTGGGGCCCTTCACAGTATTCTTCTGAGGTGCTCGGAAGGAATGAACGCTGTCGGTGAGAATCATCAATAAAGGCTTTTTGTTTTTTCGACCACGCCACTTCCTTGGCGGCACCATCACTTGAGATGGGTTCTTTATGTGATGTATCTACAGATTGAAGAGATAGGCCTTCCACCAAGCGCTTTTTTGTGGAAGGGAAGATGCTCTAGCCTTGGGGCGCCCGCACGAGCACTGGCCGGCGAAAAGCATGAAGATGCGATGGGACCCCTCGCAAGCCGGCCCCTCATCAGGTGCACCTTGTAACAATCCGTCTCTTCCACCACTGCACCCAGAGTACTCCTCAACCACGGTATCGCACTCACCATGAATTACGGGGTCTATGTTAGCCTGCTTGGCGCAGGGGGTCGCCGTCAAGATTATC